TACTCAATATGTGAAAGATTGCTTGCACATCATAAGTACTCAATACTCAATAAATGTTGAATAAATTAAATGAATATGAATGAAGAATTGGAAAAGATATACTTAACAAAACTACAAAAGTTACCTTCAAAAATTTAAAAGCTATTGAAAAAGAAAATACTAGACATATTCTGCAGAACTTCAGACAGCAAAACTAGAAGCAACAGATAAGAATTACAAAATAATTTCTAATAAATAAAGTTAGAATGATATACCAAGAAAACCAGAAGTTTCCTTTTCTGACTGAGTTTAGATTAGGTGACCTTTACTGTCCTTTCCAAATTTAATGCCATAAATACAAAAAAATAAATTTATTTTCCAGCATTTTTTCAACTGATTGCTACACCTGCTGTTATAATTTTGTAATGATGGCAATACTTATGTAATTTTTTTAATCTGTCACTTACAGGTTACAAACTGTATATATTTGTTATGAGAGAAGTCCATCTAATAATATATATAGTATTCAAAATATTTGACCATTTTACCCAAATAGTAAGTGTTCCAATAATAATATAAATCACATATCAAGGGGTTGGTGATAAATTTTCTCCAAATTAAAAAAAATATACTACAGATTTAATGCAATTCTTACCAAAATTCCAATGACAATTTTCACAGAAATAGAACAAACAACCCTAAATTTGTATGGAACCACAAAAATGACCAAATACTCAAAGCAATCTTGGGCAAGAAAAATAAAGCTGGAGGCATCACACTTCCTGACTTCAAAATATATTAGTAAGCTATAGTAATCAAAACTGTATAGCATTGGCACAAGAACAGATACAGATCAATGAAACAGAATTGAGAGTCCAGATATAAACCTACACATAAATGGTCAATTAATTTATGACAAAGGATGTAAGAATTCACAGTGGGAGAAAGGTAGTCTCTTCAAAAAATGGTTGGGAAACTGGACAGCTACATGCAACAGAACAAAACTAGATCCCTATCTTCCAACACACACAAAAATCAACATAAAATGGATTAAAGTCTTGAAAATAAAACCTGAAACCATAAAATACCAAGAAAAAAATACAGGGGTAAACTTCTAGGCATCAGTCTTGACAATGGTATTTTTGGATTTGACATCAAAAGCAAAGGCAACAAAAGCAAAAATAAACAGATAAGATTATAAAGAACTAAGAAGCTACTGTGCAGCAAAGAAAACCATCAACAAAATGAAAAAAGTCAATCTACCAAATGGGAGAAAATATCTGCAAATCATATAACTGATAAGGGATAATATCCAAAATGCATAAAGAACTCATACCAACATAACTCATACTCAACAACATAAAACAAAAACAAAGCAAGCCATCTGATTAAAAAATGGGCCAAGAACCTGAATAGACATTTTTCCAAAGAAGACATACAAATGGCCAACAACGATAAAAAGGTACTCAACATCATTAACCGCCAGGGAAATGCAAATCAAAACCACAATGAGGTATCACCTAATACCCATCATGGCTATTATCAAAAAGATAAGAAGCAATGAGTGTTGTCAAGGATGTGGAGAAAAAGGGACCCTTGTGCACTATTGGTGGGAATGTAAATTGGTGCAGCCATATGGAAAACAGTATGGAGATCCTTCAGAAAACTAAAAATAGAACTACCATATGATACAGCATTTCCACTTCTGGGTATGTATTCAAAGGAAATGAAATCACTATTTTTAAATGAAATCACTACCACTATGTGCATCCGCATGTTTAGTGCATCATTATTTCCAATAGCCATGATTAACTCATAAATACAGAGAAGAAATTGGTGGTTGCCAGAGGTAGGGGATGGTCAGAATGGATGAAGGAGCTCAAAAAGAACAAACTTCCAGTTACAAGATAAATAAGTTCTGGTGATATAATGTACATCATCACGACTATAGTTAACACTACTGTATCGTAATTTGAAAAGTTGCTAAAAGAGTAGATCTTAAAATTTCTCATCACACACACAAAAATTAGAACTATGTGAGATGGTGGATTTCAACTAAACTTACTGTGGCAATTGTTTTGCAATATATACATATATCAAATCATTATGTTGTATACCTTAAACTAATACAATGTTACATATCAATTATATCTCAAGAAGTCTGGGAGGATGAGATACATAAATAGTTCTCTATTTGCTGGGGAAGGCACACCATCAAGGCTAGAACTTATAAAGTCAAATAATGTGACATTTAATTACAAAAAATTTAAACTCTACATGGCAAAAGAATACATAAACAAAATTAAAAGATAAACAACACATATAATACATATTAAAAAGTTTTGATAACCTTAATTTATAATGCACTCCTACAAAGCAATATAGGAGAAACAATCTAAGGGTGCCTGGGTGGCTCAGTTGGTTAAGAAACCGAATCGTGCTTTCAAGGCTCAGGTCATGGTCTCAGGGTGGTGGGATGGAGCTCCTGGGTGTGAAACCTGCTTGAGATTCTGTCTCTCCCTCTCTCTTTACCCCTCCCTCTACCTCTAAAAAGAACATGGAAGAACAATCTAATAGAAAATTGGGCAAATACAAATAGGCAAATTATGGGTGATAAGGGAATTAACACTCCAAAAGATATTCAAGTTCTAATAATAAAGAAGTACACATTAAAACAAAAGAGCGCCTGGGTGACCCAGTCAGTTAAGCATCTGACTCCGAGTTCTGAGCTCAAGCCCTGTATGGGGCTCAGCACTGAGTGAAGATTCTGCTTAAAATTCTCTCTCTCTCCCTCTCCTTCTGCCCCTCCCCTACATGTGCAGGGAGAGAGGGCACCCACGCATGTTCTCTCTCTTCCTAAAATAAATAAGTCTTTAAAAAGAAAAAGGAGACTTTTTGCCCTCCCAATAGCAAAACGACCCTAACCTCTATGAAAGTTACAAGGAACATGTTATAAGGGGTTGGGTTTGATGTGTTTGTGCAAGGTGGTTAAAAACAGGTTAAGTCAGTTGCCATTGGGTCAGCAGGGTTGGCAGTCAGAAAGACAGACAGATATGACAGCAAGGAAAAACTGGAATCTAGAAACTAGTAGGAGCCCATGGATGGCTCTCTCTAGAACTGCAGAACCTCTGTCTCTCACTGCTTCCAAATTTCTAGCTTTAATGATGGGGTGACAGCAGAAGCATTAGCACATTTTCTCAAAAAGCTAAACATGCACCAGCCCTTGGTCCAGGAGTCTCAGATCAGGAGCTGGAGGTGGGGCTGGGGGGGTTGGTAGTGATGGACAGGGCAGCCACCCTGCTTCAACAAGGTGAGGCAGCAGAGCATTAGCAATGGGCATGTACAGCAACAGCTTCTGTCTCCAAAAGATCAGCTGCTTTACTCTCTTTTTCCAAAGGGCAAGTATATTTTCCTGTGGTCAAAAGAACCCACACTACACAGGGAAGGAATTCTGGAAATCATGATTTCTCATTCAGCTGACACACTGCAAAGCCACCACAGATAACTATAATAATGAAAACGATAAACATGTAAAGTGCTTTCTATGTGTCAAGCACAGGTTTAATTCTTGACAGTTCTTGGAAGGAATTCTAGTGCTATCCTTGAAACTTTCAGATACAGAAAGTAAGCACGGAATGACTAAACAATGTCTGAACCAAGGCAGTTTGATTTTAGAGCTGTACTATTGACAACTACTCTATTATTATTAACCAGATTTGATGAGAGTGTGGTCAAAGAACATTCATATTGTGGGAGGCTTTGGATCACATGGACATTTAATAAAATGCATTTGCATTTAATGCCAGAAGCCCTATTCATTTTGAGCAGGCACACAGTGAAAACGAGACCTGGGAGCCATCTGAGGTTTTTTTCAACATCAAAACAAAAACAAAAACAAAATGAAAACAAATGACCCACCTACACAATTTACATTGTGATGATCACAGTTTCTTTTACAATTAAAATTTTAAAAATTCATTCTCTACAACAAACATATATCTAAAGATTTTAAAAGAGCACTACAATACTTTACAAGTTCTTAGCATTCATATCCTTTGTGATTGCAAAGCTGCATTTCTAGATGACTAGGAAAAAAAAAAAAACCTTTGTAGTTAAGCATTGACTATCCCACAGTGAAATAACCAAAAGTAGAATGAATCTGCTCTAGAAGCATACCGAGAGAGACAGATCTTGTATTAATTTAAATTCCATAAGGTCTTCCCACTGACTGTTTTGTCTTGGAACAATGTTTTTATTTAACCCAGTTCCCTTGACCTAGGAGGCATTTGGAAATGTATGGAAGTGTTTTCTTTGTCACACTGTCACTGCAGAGCACTTGATAGTCAGAATATTCCGAAAGGGCACAGATTAGTCCCACAACACAAAAGATTCCTGTCCAAAATGCCAATAGCACCCTCATGAGAAAGCTCTAACCATTTCCTACTTGTCTAGCCAACGTGGACACTATATTAGATCCACGAGGTTTCAATACTAAATCTATTTCAGTTTAATATTTTAACTAAGATCAGTCTGTGAAATTATTTCTATTTCTACAATATACTGCTTAGCCAGCAAAATTTAATATGACCTTCCTGGAGAAAAAAACTTCTCTGTATTCCCAAATACAAAATGAGGTTACATGCCTTTTGATGAATCAATTTCATATGTATAAATTTACTGTAAGGAAAAACTAAACAAGTGTGTACAAAAAAATGAAGCTGCAAGAATTCACTGTAACATTGTTTATGAGAGGAAGTAGGAAGTTACATCCATTAACAAAATATTAGTCAAATGAATGATGGCATGATTAAGACATCACTACTTCATGTAGCACTAAGAAAGAAACAATAAATTGCCAATTAAACTAACAATTATTTATCTCTTATGATTTTTATTCAAAAGGTTTCTTTAGATTTATTAAGGCATAAATTTCTATCATATATATAGTCCTGAGCATACTTAAAAAGGATAAGAAAGTCAAGTAAGTAGGCTACATACAGTATTCTTTCAATTATCTTCATGATTGGCTTGACTCCTTTGAATCACTTTTCAACTCTTCATGATAGATGCCTCTGTTTTTCCATCCAGTATATCCTCTGTGCCACCATGAGCATGGGTGAGGCAGCATGTTACAGAGGAGTGCCCTTCTTCTGTCTTAAGAATTTTCTTCCTAGACACTGACACCCATTTTGCAGGTTTTGATGTTGGTGCTATTTTGATCTTGTAAGAAGATGCCAATAAAAGGTTTCAGACAACAACCAAGACAAATGCCTCTTACTTATATGATCCTTAAGTTGTTTGTTGACTGAATCAGTAATGGTTTGTAGTTGTCTAACCATGACAGCAGGAACCAAGTTTGTGTATAAGCAGACAGTTAACTGTCACAAAAACTGCCTGGCTCACTGCAATGACACGATGCCATCAGTTGTAACACACATCTCTATTTCAAGGGTGGTAAAATGTAAACAAAAGTGCTACTTGTAGTTAGTGAAATGTAGCTTTGGTACCGTCATTTTATGGATGGGAAACTAGGATGCTTAAATCTCTTCTTGCCCATAAAATCACACTGCCAGGAAGTCAACAAGCCAGGGCTTAAACAGAGGTCTCATAAAACACTGTGTTTCAGATCCCCCATCTGGTATTCAGTAGATGTAACATTACACTTTACTCCTCTTAATCTCAGGAATTCTTATAAACTAGATTTGTGTGAATTATTCATCTCCATTCCCCACTCCCAACCATGCCTTGCTCCCTATTTTTCTATTAAAATTTAATGCCTTCTCAATAGACATCTTTACTTTGTTTTTAGTACTTCTAATTTTCTCTGCCAACTGAGAGAAGATAGACAATTATGTACAAATAAGATAAGTGCTCTTAACTGGAATCACTATGTTAGCTTTAATGTATTGACTCTGGAGTTTTGTATTAGGTCCCTAAAGAAATTTTCTTTTAGTTTCCTCTCCATCTCTAGCTGTTTTCTACATGGCTGTGGATGGCGGCGGATGGCTGTGGATGTGTAGGATGAACATCCTACAAATAACTACAACAACCTACAGCTATATATATTTTTTCAGCTTCTAATTTTTTATTTCATACGATCTTATAACTCCCTGCTTATTTAGTCTGTGGTATAATATTTTTCATATCTTGAGCCATAAAAGGCTTACTGGTAACAACTACTATTGTTATACTGTAGGAATACTCGGTAACTTTTTTTTAATATTTTATTTATTTAGTTGACAGAGAGAGAGAGATCAAGCAGACAGAGAGGCAGGCAGAGAGAGAGGAGGAAGCAGGCTCCCCGCTGAGCAGAGAGCCCAACATGGGGCTTGATCCCAGGATCCTGGGATCATGACCTGAGTGAAAGGCAGAGGCTTTAACCCACTGAGCCATCCAGGCACCCGGGATACTTGATAATTTTAACCTGACAAGTTATCTATAATTTGTGAGCTTAAAAAAAACCTCAGAATTGTAAGTATCAGATTACATCTATAATTGTCCAAGTAACCAAGTGAGGATATCACATATCATAGTAATTTTTAATCACTTGGCTTTCATTTTATTGCACATTTTCTCTTAGATAGATAGATGATAGATTTTTTTTTTTTCACCACTAATGAATGCTCCCTTTTCCCTTTCCCCTGGAGTTGCTTAACAAGTATAACAAAGCTTGTTATAGAATTCTGGGGTAAAGAAAGCTACCAGGGTTTTTATTTAAATTGAAGAAAAATATAAAGAAAAAGATGAAGAAGATTTTTATCTCAAATCCAGGTTTGGCCATATCTGTCTTATGCAGCAGAGAGATCTTTTCTAACCTATCAGTGTAATACTGCTGAAATGGCATCGCTGCATTAATTTGCTAGCTACCTTTAGTTATTTAGATGATTTCCCAATCTTAAATTGTTTATTGGCTGCTTGCCTATTGTCCTATAGTTTGTTTTCATCAGTCTGAACGCATAGTTGGATTATTGGTGTATCTCATGTAGGTTTTATTCTTCCTCTCTCAATGAAATACTAATGTGTTGAAACCCGTGCTTGCTGTTCAATCTTATGTTTTGACAAAAGCCCCGGAACCACATAGCTTATCCATAGTGACTCCTCTTATACACACACAGATATCTGACGTGTTTGCCTTGACATTTATGTGCTAACAGATAGGGCTTCCCATTTAACAGTAAGGTGGAGAACCCCCAAGTCACATTGAATAGTTTGCTTCTCTAGATAAGACACAAGAGTGGAGAAGAAGAACACATTTTAATCATTCAGCAAGCACATCGTAGATCTTTTATGCTGTCAACTGTAGTGGTGTCCTTGAAACACGGAGAGCAAGCACTTCCTCATTCCTTTTGAGAATTTGTGCATTTACTGAAGGCTGTATGTAAAATTAAATTTTAACAGCCTTCCTGTCTAAGGCATAGATCTGGAACTCAAATAATGTGATTTCATCTTGTCCTAGCCTAATTTGAGGGCAGGGAGATTTATACCAATATTAGGTTATTGTTTCCTGCTTCTTTTAATTTAGTATCTAAAACATCAATGCCCTCAACTTCTTTACAGTCATCTTTTTGATGGGTATATGTCACCAATCGCCTACCATATTTCTCTACTCCTAGCCTTCGAGAATGAGAATAAATTCTAAAAAAAATATCTTTCAAACCTGCAGTTTGGTAACATTACCAATTCGTGATCTTCAGGCTGCAGGGAGCCTTCAATGGTACATATATATCTTGAAGAAATTGTTCATTACAACTTGTTTCTTCTACATCACCTCTGAAGTCCAGTCTATTCAGTATCCAGTCCCCACTATTCCACCGCAGTTGTTCTTATCAACCTAGCCATTACCTCCAATATATCCAATTCAATGGATAATTTGCAGTTCTTAGCTTTTAATTCTATGAAATCACTTTCTGATAATAGCCTTCCTATCTCTTTAGGGACTCCTTTAAAGACTGCTTTGCCCAATCCTAAAGGCTGGCACCATCTGGGCTTCCTTCTCAGCACTCTTTTCTTCATACCCTCCCTTCTTGGCCATTTCTTCCCCACGTGTGGTTTCAAATGCCACCAAAATATTGATCATAATGTCACCTATACCTTCGGAATCCAATCTTTTGCCTCAATTTTTTTTTTTTTGACTGTCAAATCCATGTTCCTAACTTCCTACAAAACACCTCCACTGAATGTATCACTGGTCTCTCAAACTCAGCATGTTTAAGCTGAACTTGTCATCACCCCTACTCATCTCCTCTACTTCTTTGTTTCCTATTTCAGAATATATCTCATCATTTATCCAGTTGCCCAAGCAAGATATCTAAACATCATTCTTATCTCCTTTCTTATCAGGATCTCCTACAACCAATTAGTCACTGAGTACTAACTTTACTATTCCCTTAATACTTCTCAGACCTGCTCTCAAAGTTCTATTTCTACAGCTCAGTGTGTGAGTTCAGCCATTGACAGTTCTTGACTGAATCTCTACACAATGTCTTAGTTCTCTCTCCAGCAATCCTTCTCCCTTTTCCAGAGTGACATCCAAATGCACAAACTATATCACATCATTTCACTGCTTAGCATCCTTACAGGCTACCATTCAACTCCAGGAGGAAAGAAATATAATATCATACAGGATCTTTCAGGAGTGAAATCTTGTATTTTGTGCAGTGGTATCACTCTACATACCTTCATACCACATGCACATTTTGTGGCTAAGCTCAAGTGCACTCTGAGCCCTCATGCTGAATTAGATACTCACCAAGGGGGCAATTGCACCTTAAGATATTTGCCTAGAGGAGTTATTATATCTTATCACAATTATTTTTCTCTCTTCATTCTCAGTCTCTTAAAAGAAAGAAATTTATTTCATTTCTGGGCTCCACAACACCTGGTACATAGTAAGAATTCAACAAGGGTTTGTTGAGCATATGTCTGATTATAATTATTTGTGAAAATACAAAAATTTTGTCTCTTAGTATATTCAATGCCTATTCTTTATTGAAAAATATGGTTTTAGGAAACACCTTCTTTGTCCATTCAAATGAATTCAGAAATTTGAATAATTACAATGGAAGAAAAATAAAAATGTCAAAGTGAAAATCAAGAGAAAGATCGAATGATACCATAAGCCAAAATTATGAATTACACAGTCCTTGAGAATAATTTTTTAATTCTAAAGATGCTTTTAAAAGCTTTAACTGGTGTATGCCTAGAGGTGATTTTGATTTTATATTTGAATTTAAAAAATATTAAGAAAATAAGATCTGGTATGGTCAAGGCAAGAAAAGGGACAAATATCACTCATTCCACCCAACAACCATTTAACAGCCTTCTAGATTTGCAAAAATCAATGTGGATTTTTCAAAGACTTACATATAACAAAATTTGCCTCCAAATTTTGGATGGTCCAGTCAGATAAAGAGCAAGAAATTCAATATATCTGAATTTCAACAGAATTAGTAATTTCTATTTTGTTTTCCACAAACATCAACAAATAAAAGGTATGAAACTGTGACTCCCAGCTAAGGTTATATATAATCTCCGTTGTATTTAAAATAAACTCAAGGATGTCATAACATTTTTTTTTTAATCTAAACTAGAAATTCACTTTCATGTTAAAAATTGGTATCACTGGGGCACCTGAGTGGCTCAGCGGGTTAAGCCTCTGACTTCGGCTCAGGTCATGATCTCAGGGTCCTGGGATCGAGCCCCGCATCGGGCTCTCTGCTCAGCAGGGAGCCTGCTTCCTCCCTCTCTCTTCTGTCTGCCTCTCTGCCTACTTGTGATCTCTGTCTGTCAAATAAATAAGTAAAATCTTAAAAAAAAAAAAAATGGTATCACTGGGTCGCCTGGGTGGCTCAGTCAGTTAAGCAGCTGCCTTCGGCTTGGGTCATGATCCCAGAGTCCTGGGATTGAGTCCCACATCGGGCTCCTTGCTCAGCGGGAAGCCTGCTTCTCTCTCTGCCTCTGCCTGCCACTCTGCCTGCTTGTGCTCTCTATCTCTTGCTCTCTGAGAAATAAATAAATAAGATCTTTTTTTTTTTAAATGGGTATCACCTTTTAGATTTTATATTGAGGATTGCCAAATCCAACAGTGATTTGGGATTATAACAGGCAGAAAACCTAGAAATGCACATTATATGAAATAATATGAAATTATATGAATTATATGAAATAAGACTTACTTGTAAATGAGAAGAATTTCATCATTTGATTTCTTAAAAATCACACTGTATATTGATTTTAATGTTCTAGATGAGATCTAAATAGCCAAAACAGACACAAAATTTATAATTATGAATATAGTTCAGTGATAGATAGCTATTAATATAAATGCTTTGATATACAGAATAGCTCAAAGCTATTTCCAAAGAGAAAAAAATCAGTATAGCACTAAAGAGTAAATTATACCCTTCCTCCTTCTTAAATATGTGGATAAGTAATAGGATTCCTAATTAAATTATTCCTTGTAGATTAGAAAATAAAAACCAATGTATTAAATATTTTAATATATTAGAAGAAATTAAAGATGCACTAAGTAATTATCATAGAAAACTCATGCACCTAAAAAACGTATGATGGAAAATTAGAGAAATGGCTGAAGTATCTTGAAGTAGATTAATGTATCCTGGAACTGACATAGAAGACTGAAAATTAATTTACTAAACAAATAGTGACACATAAATAGAAAAGGAAACTACTTTTAGTTACAACAACATTAAGAATCAAATGAGAAAATCTGCTATTAGAAGCCATGAAAGTTTCTGGAGAGTAACTGAAATATATATTGCCTTACAAAGTACAAGTCTTTGAACACAGAAATTCACATCTATGACTTGATCCTACTTAAATTGAGGGTAAAGTATGCAAATGTGTTTGAAGAATGATATTTATCATTTATAATGATAGAAACTAAAATCATACTTAATTTTAAATGATTTATGCAATAAATTATAGTATATACACATAATGTAATGTTATTCTATCATTAGAAGTTACTCCAAAGTATATATTTATTATTTAAAATACATTTCTACAATCAATATGAATTACTCTTTATAAAGAAATAATGAATTTTTTAAAATGTACCATGAAAAAATGTTGAAAAAGAAAAATAAAACTGGGGGCATCACGTTGCCTGATTTTAAGCTTTACTACAAAGCTGTGATCACCAAGACAGCATGGTACTGGCACAAAAACAGACACACAGACCAGCTGAACAGAGTAGAGAGCCCAGATATGGACCCTCAACTCTATGGTCAAATAATCTTCAACAAAGCAGGAAAAAATATCCAGTGGAAAAAAGACAGTCTCTTCAATAAATGGTGCTGGGAAAATTGGACAGCTATGTGTAGAAGAATGAAACTTGACCATTCTCTTACACCATACATGAAGATAAACTCGAAATGGATAAAAGACCTCAATGCAAGGCAGGAATCCATCAGAATCCTAGAGGAGAACATAGGCAGTAACCTCTTTGACATCAGCCACAGCAGCTTTTTTCAAGACTGTCTCCAAAGGCAAAGGAAATAAAAGTGAAAATGAACTTTTGGCACTTCATGAAGATCAAAAGCTTCTGCACAGCAAAGGAAACAGTCAACAAAACAAAGAGACAACCCACGGAATGGGAGAAGATATTCGCAAACGACACTACAGACAAAGGACTAATATCCAAGATGTATAAAGAACTTCTCAAACTCAACACCCAAAAAACAAGTCAAAAAATGGGCAGAAGACATGAACAGACACTTCTCCAAAGAAGACATACAAATGGCTAACAGACACATGAAAAAATGTTCATCATCATTAGCCATCAGGGAGATTCAAATCAAAACCACACTGAGATACCACCTTATGCCAGTTTGAATGGCCAAAATAAACAAGACAGTAAACAACAAGTGTTGGAGAGGATGTGGAGAAGGGGGAACCCTCTTACACTGTTGGTGGGAATGCAAGTTGGTGCAGCCACTTTGGAAAACAGTGTGGAGATTCCTTAAGAAATTAAAAATAGAGCTTCCCTATGACCCTGCAATTGCTCTATTGGGTATTTACCCCAAAGATACAGATATAGTGAAAAGAAGGGTCATCTGTACCCCAATGTTCACAGCAGCAATGGCCACAGTCGCCAAACCATGGAAAGAACCAAGATGCCCTTCAACAGATGAATAGATAAAGAAGGAATGGCCCATATATACTATGGAGTATTATGCCTCCATCAGAAAGGATGAATACCCAACTTTTGTATCAACATGGATGGGACTGGAAGAGATTATGCTGGGTGAAATAAGTCAAGCAGAGAGAATCAATTATCATATGGTTTCACTTACTTGTGGAGCATAACGAATAACATGAGGACCTGGGGAGATGGAGAGGAGAAGGGAGTTGGGGGAAATTGGAGGGGGAGACGAATCATGAGAGACTGTGGAGTCTGAGAACCAAACTGAGGGTTTTGGAAGGGAGGGGGTGGGAGGTTGGGTGAGCCTGGTGGTGGGTTTTATGGAGGCATGTATTGCATGGAGCACTGGGTGTGGCACATAAATAATGAATTCTGGAACATGAAAAGAAATAAAATTAAAATAAAATAAAATAAAGGGGAAAAAAGTACCATGAAAGAAATAGGCCAAGGTTAAACTGGATTAATTAAGTAGGTAGAACCACATGAAATACAAGCAAATAACAGATTTAGAGCTTAATAACACCTTAGATGTAATTAATGAATACAAAAAACATAACCTGTGATGTAGCAGTAGAAGTAGTAATAGCCTCCAAATCTGGTGAGTGATAAAGGCATGATTCAAACTGAGGCAGCTTGGTTTGGGAGACTATATAGAACTGCTTGATATACATGCTTCTCTGCAAATAAATATTCAATCAGTTTAGCAGGAAATAAAACCATGCACCTAAAATAATATAACTAGGCAAGAATTGAGAATTACTGGATGCCAGGTAGCTCAGTCACTTAGGTGTCCAACTCTTGACTTCAGCTCAGGTCATGATCTCAGGGTCAGAATCAAGCCCCATATAAGGCTTCACTGGACATGGAGCCTGCTTAAGAGTCTCTCTCTCTCCCTCTGCCCCTCCCCCCCTCAAAAAAAAAAAGGAAGTGAGAATTATCAAGAGGCAAAAAAGCTGTCACATGAGTATACAGATGAGTATATAGGAAATAGGCTTGGAAATTGAAGTAAGAGTAGATTTAAGACGTCGAAAGCAATTTTTGTAATTTACAAAAACATAGAAGCGGAGGGTGATACATGCCATATAGAATGTAGTGTTAAACAAACAAACAAACAAAACAACAAGCAAAAACTGAACAACAACAAAAAACCTCACACCCCATGCAGGGATCTCTTCCCTACGAATCTGCAGTCAGCCAGCCTGTTCTCCTGGGTATTTTTGGTGAGTCAGTCTAATTTCACATACTCTTCCAGTTATAGCTGTAGAGTTCTAATCTTTAGAAGTTTCTTAAACTGAACAAAACCTCCTTTTCTAACTTCTACACATTAAACCCAGGAGTGTCCTAAAAGGAAACAAATGTTCTATCTCTTCTATATAATGTTACACATCATTGAAAATAACTATCTTGGGTATTTCATTTCAGCTTTTTCTTCTCACAAAATAACTGTAAGGTTCTTTCATAAATACAACACCTGTTTGGTGAGCATATTCTGTTCTAGAGTAAAAAAACTTTGTATGAAAGAGTGACTAAAGATGCTTTTGCCGCTAGGTCAGAACAGAGTGTAGTGGGACTACAAAAGATAGATTAACTAACCCTGACTCAGAGGGAAGGAAAAAAGTTTCACAGTGAAGGTGAAATTTCAGCTGATGCTTAATTAATGAGCTTTTCTAGCAGACATGATACCACGCACAGTAGAAGATTTTGTTTTTTTTTTTTTTTTTTTTTTTTTTTTTTTGTAGAACAGAAACTATTGTGCCTGGGAAGTCACCAGCAAAAAGAATGGTTAAAGACTATGTTAAAGTGATAGAAAAAAGCACGATCATTGGGTCTTTTGGGCTGGAGCAAGGAATTTGCATCTTAGTCTATGAAAGGTCTGAATAGGAAAAGCTGGTTTTCTGATGAATATTTTTAAATGAGCACTCTGGCAGTTTCATAGAACATAGACTCCAAGGGAATGAATGGAAGTAGGGAGATCAGTTGGAGGATAATGCAGTCATACAGTTGGAAAGAATGGCAGCTTGGTCTAGTTTCCAGGCAAATGAAGTCTAAGGAAGTAACTAAATTCAGAAATTGTTCTAGAGGTAAAATTGACAGGACTTGCCAATGCATAAGGAAAAAAAGTGAAAAACCAAGATTTGTAAGAATTTGGATTGAGCAATGGCAGTATCTTTTATGGAGATGAGAAAATTGAGGGTGGTACAAGTTTAGAGAATAAAATCAAGATGCTGGTATTGAATATGCCTGTGTGTGTGTGTGTGTGTGTGTGTGTGTGTGTGTGTGTCTGTGTGATGCCTATCAGACATCCACATGTGGGTGCCAGGCATTAGAATTCTCAGGGAGAAGTTCTTGGATAAAGATATGAATTAGAGAGTGCTGAAAGCACCAAACCAGAAAATACCATCTAGGGAAAGAGAAGACCAAAGACAAAACCCTACTTCCTAAGGTCTTTAGAAATCAATTAGAAAGGAGGCATTAGCCAAAGGGCATGAGAAGAAATGGATGTTAAGTATGAAGAAAGTGTGAAGTGTCACAAAAGACAAGAAAGGAGAATATTTTGAGAAGGTGAAAATAGTCAGTCATGTCCAATACCACAAAGAAATAGAGAAATGGCTATTGGGTCTGTTAGGATGAGAATTACTAGTCATCATGACTGACTAGGGTAGAGTCAGGGAGTGAGGTAGATTCATGCCCATTTAAAATAGGTGGATCAGACAATGGAAATGAGGTGATGGTGATGGTGTGGATACTTCTGTAGGGGAAATTTTATAAATTCTTTCCTGAAACTAGAAATCCATTCCCTTTATAATCTCTTAACCTACTACATTATATAAATTATCTCAGGGAAAGAAAAAGATGCTAAGTTTAATATATTGCCTGGCACATGCTTGCACTGGATATCCTTTGCCTTTTCAGATCAGTTCTGCAGTCTTCACTATCCTGCTCTGTGCTCTGGCTTCAGCCAGGGTCTATTACATTTAGCTTTCTAGTTGGGTTTAGTGGATGAGAGACACCAGTAGAAGGAGAGATGGTAAAAGAGGGCACAGAAGTTAGGGTATTTTTTCCTCTGCATTTTGCTTGGTGGTCCAAGGTTTGGCAGTAGTTTTCTCTTGCCTTGTCACTCTTTGGCTTCCTGTAATAGCTACTTTTTCCTTGTCCTTTCAGGCATAAAGAGGATAATAGCTTCCTGCTATTTGCCAGCCTGTCCTTGGGTATTTCACCATTCTTGATTGATTCCTGCAGCCCTACCTACACTTTATAACCATCCCCTTCACTCAAGTTTTTTCAATTGCCCTTTGGAGTGTGCTATTTCTTTCCTACTGGGACCCTGACTGATACAGCCTTCAAAAGGGTTTGTTGAAAGTATGTGGACTATATTTTTCTTACAGAATGCATGCTTTATGGTCATTGTCAAATATTTCAGTCTTTTCTGGAATAAGGCAGGGCAGTCAGGAATGGTAGGAAAAGCAGAGAAGAATGAAAGGGAAGGAAAGAGAGGAAGACCAGTTACCATCCTAGCCATAGGAATTTTCACTCTGTCTTCCACTGAATAGGCTGTCTCAATTTTCTCCAAGTCAGTCCCGCTTTGTCACAAAAGCCAGCCTTTCAGAATGCAATCTCCAACATGTTAAACACATCTCTCTGGGATTTCAGATCCCTTTATTTTAAATAGACTTAGATATATAACAGTGTGTTATATTCAGATAACACATTAAATAATTAAAATTTCCTTGGGTCTCTAGGTTGATAATACAGTATCTCAGCCTCCTAAGCCAGATGTATAATGCTAGGTATTTGCTTCCTGACAAGAGGTTTTATATCAAGACAGGTTCTGAGAAAATTTCCCTGACTGATTTAAATTCTCATGCTATAGCCACTGATGTTAGTCACAAAGATTTGGGGGGACAATAATTTTTTCTTAAATTGTTGAATTAATTAAAAGGATATATGGACTCCTTGGGGTATTTCCTTTCAGTGAGAAACCATGTTTTGTGGACAAAAATATTTAATTTTTGTCACAAAAATAGAAAGTGCATATTTTCTTCTGCATTTTATTTATCTTTTATATTGAGCTATAATGTTTAATCTAAGTTTCTAGGGAAAAATTTTAGATTGAAAAAGCCTAAAATATATTAAAGTCCTTCTATGGCAGACATGTCACTTTGCCAGTCACATCTAGTTTCCCCTCAACCTATGTTTCCTTTTCCAATCTCAACATAAAAAAAAATTCAGTTTAACCACACTAGATTTTTCCTCCAAAAATACCCTTACATGAACAACCCTTTAAGGTACTATCCTAATTATCATAAAGCTTCACAAAGTTTTGTGTCCAGAGTGTAGGAAACTCATTTGTAAAAGAAACTTTGAATGAGTGGGCTGGGGGAATAATTTCATCTATTATCTAGCCAGATATTATTATCCAGCATTCAATACGATGTTCCTTTGGAGTAAGCTTTCATCAGAGATGTTCTCAGCCAGTACCAGAAATAGAGCATTTTCATTTGGAGGCTCCAAAATTGGATTTAGTACTTTAGAAATAGATATAGACAGATGCATTTGCCAGTACATTGGTTTTCCAAATAATTTCTGAGGAAGCTTTCAGGCCTTGTACCCTATTATCCAACTTTTATTTAGACTTTGGGGGATATTTGGGAGAGCAACAGCAATGTGGGGGCTAAAAATAAGAGAGGCATAAGAATTTTGCTTTGATCATGATTAGGCTCCCAACATTCTGGCCATGGGTTGTATGAATTGCCGAAGAGACTTATCAGGAATAAAACAAAAAGTTGGTTTTACCAGTAAGAGTTTTTCTTCTGGAGCTCCAGAAATGAGTATATGGGCTTATCTAATTTTCCTACAAAGTGTTTCACAAATGCCTTAAATTTGTGTTTTTAATAAAAAGAAAACTACAAATGAGTAACATTTTTCATCACCTCCCCCATCCCAGTTCCTTCCAGAATTAATGATTACTAGTTGTCTTAGCTATTCAGGCTGTTGTAGCAAAATAACCCACACTGGGTAGCTATTAAGCAACAGAAATTTATTTCTCACAGTTCTGGATGCTGGAAGTCCAAGACCAGAGTGCCAGCATGGTAACCTCTTCTGGGTGGTAGAATGCCAAACTTTCTCTGGAAAATCTGAAAAACCGGAGTTTTGTGGGGCAATCTATTACAAAACACTAATCCCATTTGTGGGGCTCCACCTTCATGACCCAATCACGTCCCAAAGACCTACTAATACCACCTCCTTTAGGGGTTAGGATTTCAACATGTGAAATTTGTGTGTGTTGCGAGTGGGAACACAAACATTCAGTCCATAGCACTAATGATTCTATGACAGTGGATTAAAAGTGTATGGTGAACACATAGGGAAAAGAATGAAAGAGAGACTAAGAAGAAAAATACATTAATAGTTCACAATTAATAGTATTTAAATTACTCTACAAATATTTATATATTTTTCTCTTCCACAGCCTCTTCTTCAAATGGTTGCCATGTAAACTGTGAGTTTTAGAAGAATGAAGCCCTTGAGATTCACAGTGTTTATTGGCTAAAACTGTGCATTTTAGTCATTTGATTAAGGACAGTGCTAAACTCATTCAAATAGCAGCTGGCAATTGTCCTTGGAGTCACTGTCCTTGTAGTCACTGGTTAGAGAAGCCTGTAAAAGTAAGCCCTGAAAAATTAATAGAAGTAGACAATTCCTCAGTGATTATGGTACAATAGTTACAATAGTTTTTTTCTACATTTGAATGAAAGAATCATAATAAGTCAAGGATAGAATATGAGTTTTGAGCAGAGTTATCAAAATATGCTTGTGTGTTTATGTGTGAAAAAAAAAATTATCCCAGAAGTTTGGAATCAAAAGAAGAGTTATAATGGGACAACACCATGAGATTAAAATAAATTCTATTTTTTAATGTCTTCACAAATGAGGCTTTGGGCCTTATTTTAATCATTAACTGAGATTTAAAATGTGAATTATCTTTAATTCCACTACTATACTAATTTACAAGGGACAAATTCCTAAGTTATGTTATCTTCCTCCTTAACTTTGTATAGACAGCCTACGTCTAAGTTCTACTGCTTTGCAGAGGGAGCATTCTCCAAATCGACCAACCTTTCCTGCACAATCCACAGGCTTCTGCCCGAGTTGAAATTTTTAATCACAGAATCGAGGATTCTTAGAGGCTCAAGGCCATGAAATGGCATCTAAATCAACCCAGGGTAGAAATTCCCTGTAGATTAGAGCATCCCTGACCGGCAGCCACCTTGTCTCAGCAGAAACAACTGTAACTAAAGGAGGGAAAGAGCAAGATCAAGATGTGTGGCCTGCTAACTGGATGACTATGAAATAATCACTTGATTATTTGTCAGTGAAATATAAACCAATGGCCATTTACACAGACTTCTGTGTAAAAACTATAACCTCTAAAATACTACAAAATGTGCTATTATAATTCTTTATTATTTCACAGTTCAACCTATTCCATTTATATTTATCTCTGGTTATTAAGGATAACCTTAAAAAGGTCCAAAGGTGTTTCCCTAAGTCTCCCCCTTGAAGAACCAGAAGAATCTACTGGTATTGTTACCCCTGAATGTCATGAGGAATAAATGGACGGTCATGTCCGTAAGCTCAGGCATAACTACAACATCAGTAAGGAACAATGTCTATTAGATAATTATAAGCTGTTCAATTATTTCAAAATCTTGATGGGATCATTACACCATTTTACCAATATTTATCTTTTAGTTTCTGAGTTCTTCCAGTCAAGGCCTACACCTTTAAGATTAAGTACACAAATCTGAGGAATGGAATAATTAGTATGGAATAATAAAACTTCTCTTTTAAAAGGAGCCCAGGGGCCCCTGGGTGGCTCAGTAAGTTGAGCGTCCAACTCTTGATCTCAGCTTAGGTCTTGATCTCAGGGTGGTGAGCTCAGACCCCATGCTGGGCTCCATGCAAGGTATGGAGCCCAGTTAAAAATAAAAATAAAAGTAACAAATTACAAATAAATAAAAGGAGCCCAGGCAGCTAAATCTTGGACTGCTCTGCTGAGGGTTGTGCAAGCTCCCCAATATTCTATTTTTCATAATATTAGGGTCCACATACAGTAGACACTTCATTCTGCTCTCATATTCTTTATTGGCTACAATAAACCAGTTTGGCAGACCTCTACTAGCAGACTGGTGGTGATTTTCTTATACCAAACTTTAAATCCTGGCTCTCCAATTAGCTGCACGTATACACACCTTCCTCCAAAAGACCTTCCCCATTCTACATCTCTATGTTCACCTCTCCCTGCACTCCCACACTAGGAATTTCATCTCTGTTACAGCACAGACATTCTATTTTAGACTGTGGTAAGCCATTTTCTTGCCTGTCTTTCCTTAAGAGTCATAAACTCCTTAGATGGCTGATAATGTGATAAATGGATGAGGTAAAGAATGAAGGAATCATTTTAATAAATGGCAATAGAAAGAATACACTGTTTTCCCCTCTGTTGTGTAATATTTTTAATATTTTCTGCATTCTCTAAGAGGATAATATTTCTGATCATAATTGATCAATCAAGAAATCTAAATTTATCATCATTTAAAATTTTAATATATTATTTCAGAACAAATTTGAGCTCACAGAAGTGTTATATGGGGAAGAAATCAAGATGCTCATAGTTGAAAAGTGGGCTTTGGGGCGCCTGGGTGGCTCAATAGGTTAAGCCTCTGCCTTCGGCTCAGGTCATGATCCCAGGATCCTGGGATCGAGCCCCGCATCGAGCCCCGCATCGAGCCCCGCATCGGGCTCTCTGCTCAGCGGGAAGCCTGCTTCCTCCTCTCTCTCTGCCTGCCTCTCTGCCTACTTGTAATCTCTGTCAAATAAATAAATAAAATCTTTTTAAAAAAAAAAAAAAGTGTGCTTTGTTTCCAGAAATGGCCTATTGTTGAAGAGAGATATCTTGATGCCACATTTATCATCAGAAGCTATAAAAATCCATAGGATAAATAAAATGAACATTCCCTATCTAATTTAAAGATTTAGAGAAAAAATCGTGCTTATAATCAAATAAATACAGAGAGATTATGTTTATAAATGTGTTATATATAGCTTATCATAAAATACAGATGGATAATAGGAAATTTCACATTTTTATTTTTTTATTTTTTTAAAGATTTTATTTATTTGACAGACCAAGATCACAAGTGGGCAGAGACGCAGGCAGAGATAGAGAGGGGAAAGCAGGCTCCCCACCAAGCAGGCAACCCAATGCAGGACTCGATCCCAGGATCCCGAGATCATGATCTGAGTGGGAGGCAGGGGCTTAACCCACTGAGCCACCCAGGCGCCCCAGGAAATTTCACATTTTTAAAATACAAAACATAAAAATATTGCAACTACGACAATCCCTTCGGACTAAGCTTCCGGCCCCTGGGGATCTTCATTTATTCTGTGTTTTTACAAGAACTTTGGTAGAAAACTGTAGTCTATAAAGAGAAGAAAATGAGTTGTAAAGAGGAGATGGATGATAAGTAACTTGTACATCTAAGTAAGCTGATACACTATGTAATTACACAAAAGATTATCTTACTTGCCTTCCTCATCAGTTTGTTGTCTCTCCTGAATTTAAACCTGGGATTGATTAATCCCATAGGCATGTTTTCCCTCACTATGATGCAGGCACTGACCTGGCAGTGAAAGTACAAAGACAAATGTGACATGGCTGCTTGCCTGAAGGAGCTTTCTGATGAGTCAGGGGTATTGGACATTCATCCAGTGGCACAGGGGTTATGATACAGTGAGGCCCAAGAAAGAGGGCAGTCAGGATAGTCTTCTGGAAGCAAATATCTACGCATTATAGTTTGGGATTTTAAAATTGACCAAATTAAAGAAAACATGAATTCTAAGGTAAGCCGCAGAGAAATCTTCCCTGAATTCCTAACATGTTCTGTGTATAAATATTCAACAGTTAATCTGTTGCAGATAGGATTCTGTAAATAAATTCAGACATGATCTTCACTAGCTTTGTGCTCTGGTGAGAGTAACAAAGCTCCTATAGCCACTGAGTGCCCCTGGTTCCATTCTAGCAACAATACAGAAAAGTCACAGACTACTGGAAAAAATTTTGAATACTTTAATACTTCTTTTGAAGCCATGACAACCATGAAACAGTTGTAGAAATAAAAAGTTTTGAATTCTTGACATTTTTTAAAGAATTCTAGTGTTCTAGATATGCACATACTTAATATTATACTTAAGACATTATGAATCTGAAGTGGCCGAAGGCCCCTTTGTCAAGGATTCACTGAATAATTTCAAGTTGAATAGGACTTTTTTTAGTGCTTTGTCATTTTGAAAGTATTTATGATACTTTTCAAAATCATTAGCCATTCAGACATTGAGTAATGTCACAGGCTTTTGTAGATTTTATTCCATACCTTAATATGAGCCATGAGTAAGACAAACCACTACATTAGTAAATAGATTTTTATTTCACTGAAAATAATATCTGGATTTTTCAGACTTTAATGTTTACAGACCATGGCCAAGGCCTCAAAACAGCCCCTGGGTTACTAAAAAACATTTCACTAACCTATTTAGAAGCATCACTATTATGTTTTCATGATTGGAAGTAAAAAATGAAATAAATTTCCTTTTTATACAACTTTTCTCCAGGATTTAATACCACAGTGTCTAATATTAGTTCAGTGACCTTTCTTGTTATATTTATTCAAAAACTGAAGGAGGATAAGAATGAATTCTTAAACAGAATAAAAAAGACAGGATTCATTTATCTTTAAGAAAAGAAAAAAAACACATATTTGTCTTTATGCTTTCTTATCATGAATAGCCAAAATGTGTGCATGTCACTTAGCTCCATAATGAAATTATATATTGCTTAGACCACTCTGTACAAAGATTTTATTATTGCTAATGATTTTAACATCACAAAGATTAATGAATTATTACTGAAAATCAATTGCTTAAAATAAGTGTTGAAAATGACTCAGTTGAAAGATAATTGAGCTGCATCTAAACAAAATGTTTCAGCACCAGTGAAGCATGAATCATAATTTTTAAGTAAAAATGTATGGTTTTACATTTTTCACATACTCTCTAATGAGATCAGCATTAGAAATG